GTCTTTTGTATTTTTTAATTGTAAATCATTGGAAGTTGGTCAGCTTATAAACATAAATACTACAGAAGGAAGAAGAGATGGAGGAGTTGTGCACACAATATTATTATATCTGGCTGTGTCTATAAAGATGTAACTTCTGCATCACTCACTTCTAGGTGACTGCAAGTCTTCTATGTCTGGGTCTTTCTGATTTTTTTACCCCACAGAAAGCACTTTCACACTAGTATAACTGAACATCTGCCAAAACCAGCTGTCTCAGATTCCTTTTGTCTTGTAGAGAATTCAGGGGCATTCACTCTGGTTGTTTGATGTGACTACTAGATTTTTAGGCCTCTTCATTGCATTGTACAATTTGAAAATAAGTCTCAGAACACCTTTCTTCCTATGACATGCACGTGCTGCACAACTGCAGGGCAGGTCATTAGAAAGAGGAAAGCTATCTTTCAGAAACTATTCTTTTTTTTCTTTTTTAACTTCTCCCAAAAGACTCTGTCTGCTTCCTCTTATTGAATAACAAAAACTATGCATGGGTAAAATAAATCCCCAATGTGGTAAAAATGTAATAATTCCATTAGCAAGTGATCTCTGGGTTTTGATCACTAATTTGAAGCCTAAGTTTATTTATTTACTTTTTATTCTTTCATCCATTTTATTTAACATATTTAACTGCTCATCAATATATGTTCTCTGAACACTTTGAAAAATCAATAATAAAATCCATCTAAAATGCCGAGTTCAGAAAGACCATTGGTGGTGACCAAAGTTTAAGGGCTTTTAGTAGCACTGATTATATTTAGGGAACAAGGACAGGGTCCATCAAATACTGAGCTTAAATACAGTATGTGGTGGAGAATTAAGCAAGTCCTATGGGGTTATTCCTGAAAACATAAGAAAACATTTGAGTGGGAGTCAATGGATAAGTTGATGGCATCATCTTCATCACTCTGTTTACTCAGTTTTGACCAGTGTGAGCAAAATATTTGATTTCTGGGTAAGTATGTAAAGGATTGTCTCCTTAGCCATTTAATACTACTGAGGCAGGAGGATAGCCACTCTTAATTTGCCATAGACTATGCCAAATCCTCCCACAAAGAATGTTTTGTAGAGGTGGCCTTCTGCAGAACTGGAAAACTGCCTCTGGCATAGAAATAACTAATTACAACTCTTTTTGTAGAGATGGAGCTTGATGGATCTAGCCATCCTTTCCTAGTGCTTGGCTTTTAACTTTCACACTGTGAACCAAAACCTCTGTTGTTTGCCTGGTGTTTAATCATATCAGTGAGTATGTTGCTTGGAGAAAGGGTGTGAAAGTGCACAGGCCTGGATACTCCTGCATATTATTAAAGCACATGGGCATCTTCACAGGGACAAGAAGGGCAAATGATGACACCTGCATAATGACACAATTTTGCAACTGCCTGTGACTTACATACTTGCATGATTACCTCATCCCATGGATTTTGAAATCATCACTGTTTGCTAGGTAGGTTAGTAAGTTGCTATTTGCATCACATTTTCACTAAGGAAATTTCCTAGTAAACACTTGCATTACTAGGCTGTTTATAACCAATGGCAAATGTCAGTAATAAATCAAACCTTTTCTCCAGACAGAAATTCAGTTAAGGCTGAAATAGATTATGGTGGAATTCCTTTTCTGATTGGCATTAGGTCAATAACCTATAAATTAATTTGTGCACTGGCAACTCTTCAGCTTTATGTGATTCAGAAATAATCTGCCTGCCAAAGCTTTCAGAGGCCCTTTCATAGTAGACTAAAAGCTTAACTAAGAGGAAAAGCTTTGTTTTCTATCAACAAGTTTTATATAGATTGCCAGTGTTCTAGTCTGCACTTTACAAAACAAATAGCAAGCTTACAAGAAGTCAAGGTTGTATACATCAGAGCATTTAAACCCGTGAGACCTGCGTGAAGAACCATTTCCTGACTTCTGAAGGAAATTCACATTTGCTGTGTCTGTAGAGCAAAACCACTAGCAGGATTTTCACATCTAGCACTTTAACCTCAGGAAATGAAGTCGGGGGGTTGCCATCATCAAGCACCTATAGCTCACTGCAGGAACCTTGAGTTCTGCTCTGCTTCTCCTCCTTGTTGCTGATGCTTGTTTGCCTACATTTTCTGAATGAAGAAGCAAACAAGCAGTCAGGACCAGAAACATGGAGGAGAAGCTTCTGTCTCCATTTCTCTTTCCTTTTGTATTGGGTCCAAAGTAAGAAGGCAAAGACAGATAATTGCAAAAGGAGTAAAAACAAAGGAGATTCTCTGAGCAACATACAAACTAGGAGCTTGCTCACTTTGGAAGTGATTGGTCTTTCAGAATTGGGTCTTAGGGGCATGTCCGTACTATACATTTAAAACTATTTTCCCTACCAGCTGTATAGAAGTATAGCTTCCATTATAGCCAGTATGGCCAGAGGACAGCACCTTATTTGTAGGGAGTAAGGAAGATTACCTTGATGGAGATATGCAAAATCCATTGCCTGGGGCGGTGGGGGGGCGTTTAAGTCCAGAATGAGATAACATTTGGAAACAGCTTAGGCAGATGCCTCCTTAATGCACTTAACTATAAGAAGGAAGAGGAGGTACTGAACAATCAAACTTGCAAGATTCTATTATTATAGCCAATCTCAATAAAAATAGTTTTAGTCTATGAAATTGATTTCCTAGTCTGGTCTACCTAGTGGTGCTGACATTATTAGAGAAGGCTAATTTGAACCAATTTCATCCATGAGCTTTAAAGCAATAATTGTACTGAGTCCTTAGAGCATCTTGTAAAATAGATGGACTTGATTATTGCCATATTACAAATGAGTGGAGTAAGAATGAGAAGTTGTGGTTTGACTAAGCATGTTCATGAAAGATGAGATTCAAACTTGGGATTTCCAGATTAGTAACATTGATTTACTAAATGCTGAACATGTTTTAGTCTTCTATGAAACTATCATGTATTGAAGATTCCCTAATTTCCACCTCTTCTCCTGAAGTACTTTTCCCATAGGTTTTCCAGTTCTATTGTCTTTTGCCTCTAGGCCTATCTATAGATGATACTTTAACCACACTTAACTTTAATTCTTCAAAGGGCATCTACAGTATTATCCCAATTAAGTCGTTCTTTTCCACTTCCTCAGTTGATGCATGCCCTAGAGAAGTAGAGGGTGAGATTTCCAATTATGAGAGGGCAGAGGCATGGAAGGGAGAGGGAAGTGGCAGTATGCCAGTGCCATACAATATTTAAAGTGTTGGATTTCAAACAAGATAACCCAGGTTCAAGGTCAATTCAACTGCAGAACTCCCTGGGTGCTCCCTGAGTCAGTCACTACTTCACAGAGCTGATGCTGTGGAAAGAAAATAAACAGGGACACCCCCATTTATCCTATTTTGAGTTCTCAAGTGAAATCTAGAGTAGAAATGTAATATAAAATATGCCATAAGTTTTATACAACATTTTTGTATATATTGACACCTGAATATTCAATAATCCATCGGCCATTATTCTGATGGTACAATATAGACAGCTACTAATGACAAATAGGTATTTTGTTGAAATCTCAGCAGCTGAAAAGCATGGAAAACCCTAGCTGAGATGGTGAAATTGACAGCTTTGATTAGAGAAAAGACATTGGATAATTTGAAAGCTAATTGGAAGCCCCTTATGGACTTTTTGCGGGAAACAGAAAAAAAATGAAGTTATAATATATGGATTTGATGATTAGTAAAATTAATAGATTATAGAAAAATGGATGTTAAGTTGAAATCTTAGAGTAAGAGTTTGATGTATGTTTTAATTATATATGCTGTAAAAGAAATCTGAAGTCATTTTTTTTGTATTTATGCTTCTTTTTATACACTTTTGCTTTCTTTCTCTTTATTCTTTCTTTTTTTCTATTCTCTTTCTTGATTATTAGTTCTTGTTAATTTTTATCTTTCTTTTTTTTAATTTAATAAAGTTATTATATAAAAAAGCTTTGCAGCTGAAAAGCATGGAATTCAGGCATTTGATTGTTAAATAAATTTGTTTGGCATGGTAGAAATTATAAACTATAATTTAAACATACATTTTTGTATGTTTCTTCTTTCATCTTTTTTGTTTTTCATTTTACAGATGTAAAATAATTGTTATTTTGAAATGGAAGCTCATGCAGTGTTTGCAAAAATTCAGAGCAAGTAGATGAATGTGTGTACCCAAGCAGAATGTTTACTAAAGATGAGAAAATGAATGGAGAAATATTAAGATGGGTAAACGCTTGTAGAAGGGTAGTGGATTCTATGTGGCCTGTTGCAAGGAGTAGACATTTGTTGAAGAAGTAAACGTGGCTGTGTAAAAGTCCATGCTTCTTCCCACTTTGTTATATAGATGTGAGAGTTGAATTATGTCAGGAAAAACATAAAAATATGTTGAATGCAGTGGGAATGGGTTGCTTAAGAAGTATATAGCATAAAACAAAAAGAGGGTCAAAAACAAATGGGGATTGAATGAATGCGGATTGAATACAAAAGTGAGCAATCAGTACAAAAGAATTACATTGAGGTGGTTTGGTCATATATAGAGAATGAGTGAGGATCATTTTGCAAAATAAACCTATGAAGGGAGAATGAAGAGGTCAAGAAGAAAGGAAAGGCTGTGAAGATCATGGTTGGATAGAGTGGATGAGTTCCTGAAAAAGAGAGAGCTGAGAAATTTAAACTACAAAAGGCAGTGGATGAATCTGTCGATGGATACAGTGAAAGCAAGAATGGTTTGTAAGGACAGAAAGGTATAGCGAATGTGTTGATGTGAAGACTTCCTTGTTGTTTCTTTTATCTTCTGCCTTTAAGTTCTTATACTGATTATTTTTTACTGTTTTTTGTGCTTTACAAAATATTGTTTACCTTGAAAGGGAATAGTTTGATGTGAATATACACATGTCTGAATGTGAAGTTTGCAGTACTGAGAATGATTTGATCTGTTTTGTTTTTATCCATGCTTCTCTTCCCCCTTGACCTAGGTCTGCCTTATGGATGGGAAAAGGCCTATACAGCAGATGGAATCAAATACTTCATCAAGTAAGTGCATCACTGTCAGAAGGCAGTTATAAAAATAGATAGATAAAATAAGGATTTTATCATCTTAGATGCATATGACCGCTAATGAATATGATCACTATGCTAGTAAAAACATTCTGTAGCTGACACATACTTTGAAACATCATGGTTATGCGTATCTATAGAAATGTTGGGTGTGGAAATAAAACAGAGTTATTTTTTTTAAATAAGGAAAGCTTCTATGGATGGCATTTCTGTTATTGTGTTGTCTTCAGATTGTGTAAATCGTTTGCCTTTTACTAAGGATTTCCAGGGAAAGGAACATTTTTAGTGTGTTAGCCACCCAAGTCACTTGGTGAGATGGGTAACCATATAAATCTAATAAAATAAAGAAATAAATTTTACTTTCTTCCTTTCACGCTTTAAGCAAAAGCCTATCAAATAATCATATATAGACTCTTACCATGTTAGCTCCACCCAGACCTCCTCATTCTGATTTCCACATCTGAGTGTAGCTGTTGGTAACAGTATCTTAATGATTTGGGTACATTCCCACAACTCAGTATCCTGGTTACCCCAAACCTCTATACAGTACATCAACAGATACTCACATACTGTTTGCTATGAGCTGCACTCAAGATATGGAAGTATGTCACAGCAGGGCTAAAAACAGATCTCATAATCTTCTACAGGGTGACACACACACACCCATGCCCAATTAACACATGAACTGGGTTAATTTCTTGGTTCTGGGATTAAGGTGTTCTTGATTAAAGAATATGTCACTATTATCTGAAATACTCTTTTCTTGGCTGTCATTCATGTACTTCTAAGATCCCCACAGTATGTCCTGGTGTGGCTTAGAGATAGCAATCAGACTACAAACTATTAATGGGGAAAAGATAAGTGCAGTTAACTCATTTGTCTCACCAACAGCCAGGATTCAAAACTTTATTCTCATAACAGTCTTTTAACTCCCACCCAAATGGTTTCCAGATAGGAAGCAATCAAAAGAGAGGAGATTCCTCTTGTTCAGTGTTAGCCCAAGTCATCTTGCTACCTCAAATGATACAAATTTGATGCTGATGCATACAAGTTAGGATTCCCATAGAAAAAGATGTAAAAATATATCCTTGTTCAGTAATGGTTTCAACCCCTTTGTAAATTGTTATGTTGTTGCTGCTGCTCCATCTACTAATCACTAATTTCTATGTGAGTTTAGCACATACACTTATAGCACACACATGCACTGAAGCAGTTCACTTCACTTTGCTGCATGGCAGAAACAGCCTGATAAAAAGGGAGAGTGTGCAAACACAGCCTTGACTCAAAAAGCAATACGCTTTGTTCATTGAATTAAAAACTCTTCTCAGAATGCAGGTTGGAGGCTAGTCAATAAGTCACTCTGCTTCTTAGCATTTTGTTTGTTTCTATAAAAGTACTAGAACTATTTTTATTTTATGTCCTATATCTCCTTCATGGGGGAGGGGGGACTGAGTTTGGTGTCAGATTAGTTTTGTGCTTGTTCTTTGTGTTAATCAATATAAAGTCATCACTCAAAATGTGTTGCACATTTAACAACAGCAAACTTTTATCACCAAAGCAAAATGAATGTGTGAAATTTCATCTCACTCAATTCAAACAAATGACTTTTAAAGATTTCCTCTGAAACTTCAGGTAGAGGTGATACTGAGAAGTATATTTTTTACAAAAGCTTAAAATAGGTTACTAATCCTCAGGAAAGATGGTGATCTCTCCTCTCTCCCTAAGATTGAAAGAATTAATATCAGCTCCATTTTCCCATTTGTTATTTAAACCTCTGGTAATTAACAGATTTTCTTAAGGAGCTTCCTTTGGAACAAACCAATCCTCAAAGAATTTCACTGACAAGCACTTTTGAAACAAATATAATAGGCTGAAATGAGATTCAGGACTGCCAGAAGATCTCTAAAGTTTAAACATTTTAAAGAAGTTTTTAAAAATTCTTTATACATCATAAATATAAACTAGCACCTTAAAAACAGAAACACAACATTCCAGTTTATACATCACACTTTTAGTGAGTAAGCATCAACGTTTTAGTCAAATAATCCTCCTGAAGAGAATGTGGCAAATTTTCTTTAGCTTAGAGCATACAGTGCAGCTTTATGTTATAGAGGAGACAGAAGATTGAGCCAATATGGCACATACTGCTTGAAACTGCTCCTAAAATTGCCTTTTTAATATTATTTACTGGTTGTTCCTGGGGTATGGGGTGATGTAGTTTGTTCCTCTTTTATCAGAACTGTCCACTACTAAATAAAAAAGGCTTTAAATTTCCTAGTACTAAACAATATCAAAATAAACAATAACCAGAACTTCAAATTAGATGACCAGAAAAAAGGGAGTTGGCACATCACTGAATGTCATCAGTTAGATAGTTTCAGGATTACCGTATTTTTCCGACTATAAGACGATACTTTTTTTCTAAAATCCTT